CTGTTCCGCCCAGCCTCCCAGGGTTGTGCCAGGACCCCCTGTGCGTCTCAGCAGAGTAGGAAAGAGATGCTGAATAGAGCTTCTGTGTAGGGTTTTGGATGCCTTCTTGACGGTGTATACTAAACATGAGCCACTTCCTCACCTTTCCGTCTCACCCAGGATGGACAGCCCCTTGGTCTGCAGCGGTTCTCATCAGAGGAATGAGCTCTCTCTTTCTGTGAGACTCAGCCCTCTGGGCCTCAGAGACCTCTTCTGAGAAGAGCCATGAGCTGGAGCAAGAGCTGAGCAGGCGAGGGCAGTGTTGGAAATGTGACAGGTGTCTCAGGGTGCTGTGGGGGGCAGGGGCCCCTAACTATCAGGTACTGTCTGTTATCATCGTCCTCATTTCTTTCGGTGGCTATACTTTCCCACATGCAGCTGCTCCCCGGCACTCAGGCTATGATTACCAGGGCCGCCTCCCATCTGTAATTCAGTCCCTCTCTGGAGACCTGCGGCGTGGAACCCTTCACCCAGTGAGTCGGGCGGTGTTTGCCTCCATTCTCCACTGCACCTGCCAGCACTGTTCTCCTCCACCCTCTCAGAGGTGGGGCCCTGTCGACTCTGTGACCTGGTGAGAAGATGTGCTCCACCAACCACACCGTTCCTTCTCTGTGTGACCTTGGACAAGGAATTGCACTACTCTGATCCACCTCTCAGTATCCACCTCTGGAAAATGGAGCTGCAACTCCTAAGCCAGGGGTAGAGCCAAAAGACTAGGGTCGAAAGAGAAGCTCTCTTCAGCCTCCCAGCACTGGGAAGGGACCCAGAGGGGAGCAGTTAATTTCAGCATTCATGCAGGCAAGCCACTACCAGGCTTTGATTTTGGTTGAGTTCTTTAATTTTCACTTCTGCTAAATGCCTGCCTTTAATGTCACCTCTCTCCTTATTCATTTCTGGCTTTCTGAGCTGCCACGAAAACCTCTCTAGGCAAAACAGTAAAAGTGAATGATAAGTCGGAGCCAGGTTCATTCGCAGTAATATACAACTTGGCCACTAAAGCAATCACTTAATGTAATGTTCCCCTGGGAAGGGACGGGGTGCTAAGCTTATCGAGCAAGGGCCCTTGTGCGTGCACCTCATATCCTCCCTGGCATGTGGACCCCAGAGGTTTGCAGGTCTCTGACATCTCTCTTCGCACCCACTAATTATAGCCCATTATTCCATCCCAACCTTCAGACAAGGCAACACTTGGCCATTGCAGTAGACCCTCAATTTATGACTGGCCTGATATATGAACAACGGGTTATGGCTGGAATTTTAGTTTTAACTTACAACCAAAGTCTTTCGTCATGACCCGAATGCCGGCCGCTTGTGCTTCCAGATGGTCTCGGACACAGACTTAACCCTTAAAGAGTTCTGGAAGGAGCAAGACAATGTCCTTTCCTGTGTGGAGCTGAGAAACCCTGGGCCAGGGTCTCTCTGAGGATGCTGAGAGCTGCCTGTGCACAGGAGAGAGACTGTGAAGGCTGTGGAGAGGAGCCTGAGCCTTCACTGAGCAACCTGAGTTACACCCAGCCCTCAAGAATGAATTGAGTTCATACGTCAAGGGTCCATTTTACTTCCCCTGAACACTTTGAGCCGCTGAACTAGGTCCACAGGCCGCGGGTAGAGGATCCACTCCCTGACAAGCATGGCCAGTAGGTGTGTGCTGCTTCCTTGCCACACCCACAGGACAGACAGACGGGACCAAGCTTCGAGGCTGCCTGGGCAGGACCTCAAGTGGAAAGCAAGGAGGGCAAACTCTCACTGAGCCCGTCTTCCCTTCTCTAAAAGCGCAGCACAGACCCCAAGGCCCTTCTGGCACTTGATTCTCCTTTGTAAGTCCAACGCCACCTCTCCCAGCTCCCTTGGCCTTCTGTTATCATTTTCATGGGACTCACTAGGCCTGGACCAGCTTAGGGCAGCTGAAGCAGCAGAGGAGAGACCGCCACTATCTCTCCTGGGCCCAGAGACCTGGCTCTCAGAGTCCTGCCGCTGTATAGTCCTACCTCCCAGAAGTTGTGCTTCTCATGAGACTCCCCCACCCAGCTTTATGCCTGACCTAGCAGAGGCCCCTGAGTCCCCTGCCCTGTGAGCACCAGCCATGGGCTTCTCAGTGGCCCCGGGTTGGGCCTCCACTCCCTGCTGTTTTGCAGGTGCTATCAGCTGGCCAGGGCTCAGGACGAAATCTGCTTGGGACCCAATGACCTAGAATTCCCACCCTGCCTGCGGCCTGGCTCCCTCCCACCCCAAGGCCCTGAGTTCCTGGCTCCTTCTTCCCAAATGCTGTTTCTTGACGCCCTCATGGCTCCAGCCCTACTTCACTCTGGGTCCCTGCAACCTCCCTGGGCCCGACCCTCCCCCAGCTCTATTTATTGCTTTTCTCAGCTCCAAACTGCTTCATTGTAGTCCCTGCCCCTCCAGCTACAGGTGCCTCCGACCACTTGTGTCAGGTCCTCCACACCTCTGGGGTGTCATCTGTGGGGTGTCCCTGCAGGCTCAGCCCCAGTGCCCAGTGTCTGACGCAGAACAGCCCCATCGACACCCGCTGAGTGAATGGAAGATTGAAATGCGGACTCTTAGACCCGTCCTTCCGGGCCCTCCTGCCCAAGGCTTCAATTTTTGTTGCCTTTAACAAAGTAGAGGTAGGGCCAGGGATTTAGCTCAGTGGCACTGTGCCTGCCTCAAAAGAGCAAGGTACCGAGTTCGATCCCCAGTATCAAAAAAAAAAAAAAAAGTAGAGGTTGCATTCAATGCTTTTTTCCAGATCGTTTGTGTTTGTGTGGTTCACTCCACAACTCCTCTCAGAGAAGGCTATATTGAGACGGGCACAGGGGAGGCCTCCACTGAGTACGCACCATCCTGCCAGGGGGGAGAAGCTCTGGTCTGGAGCAGAGCTCCCCTCGGTATGGTGTGCAGCCCTCCTACTCAGAAGACGGAAGCCGGGGCATTCATCAGAGGAGCGGCAGGGTCTGTGCATTGCCTGAGCTTGGTGTTATTCTCTGATGCGATCAGAGCATTTCAAATTAGAGTGTAAATGGGAGTTAAAGATACATTCTGAGGCCTTTGGTAAGAGGTCAGCACTCTACAAAAGGAAGGGAAAAAGGTCTCAAAGCCTGACTTTCAGGCTCCAAAATCCCACAGCAAACATCCTCCTGACCCTGACTACAGACCACTTACCGGGGGCACAGGCTTCATGATGTGCGTTTCCAGAACAGGCCACAGAACCACTTGAGTTCCATGAAACATTCTAGAAGCTTCAGGAAGCCAGCAGTCAGTTCATCATTTTCGAGTCCCAATCACTCATTTCCTTCTCTGAGGGGAAGAGAAAGCCTTTAACTGGCTACCAAAGTCTCCAGTGATTGCAAGGGATCTGATTTCTTGTTTAAAACAACATGAAGACCTTTGCATTTGAGGAAAGTAGGAAGTGGGGGATTTTTTTTGGATGCTGTTTTCCAGGGCCACTAAGTAACAATTGCAAGGGCCTGGCCTAGATTGAACTCCCCTCCTCTCTGTTCCCAAAGCTGTCTGTGTTCCCCTCTGTCAGAACATACCTCTCCGTGTATCCCAAATACCCATTCATGTTCCTGTTTCCCTCCTGGAAAACTGGTTCCATAAAGGGGCCCAGAGTAAATATTTTAGATTTTGTGAGTCTTATGTCTGATCTCTGTCATCCATTCAGCTCTGCTGTGGGAGCACCCAAGGGGCTATGGATGGCACAGAGAGAGCTTCGCTTCCAAAAGCAGGAGGATTGGAGGTGGCCTAGAACCTTGGTTTGCTGACCCTGGAGCTCCTGGGTAGGAGGGGAGACTCCTACTATTTCCTTGTCTCCTCAGTGTTCAGCTCAGGGCCTGGCACACACTTACTAGATGCTCAGTGGTGGGTGCGCAAATGAACAAAAACCAAACGTGCTGCCCAAGAGAAGTCTTCCTGAATTTGTTGTTATTAATAGTTGGGAAAAAAACTGTCATGTGGTAAAAGGAAAGAGACTGGCATGGACCTAGGACACATCAGGTGCCATTGTTAATGCCCTACATTTCTTGGTTCAACCCAGCCATAAGCTAAATCTAACACATCATGTAGACAAATTACCTGTGAGGAGCTGGCTTCCTAAGTAAGCAAACAGACTCCAGAAATCTCTTGCCTTTTCCCTCCAGCACTGGGGATTTGAGCCCAGGGCCTTGAGCATGCTAGGCAAGTACTTTTCCACTGAGCCTCAGCTCCTCTGTCACTCTTAATTTGTAACTGCTTTCATGGAAAGTTCAATGACAGCTGTCAACCCAGGCACTATCAGACATGAATTCACAGATCCAACTCCCTGGCTCCCTCTGCCGTGGGAGTAAACATGGCTGCTTGGGTAAGAGTGAAAGGGGGCTAGTAGGACAGTAAGCATCCTGTCCACCTGCATCCAGGACAGCTGGCCACCCCTTTTGTGCCCAAAGACAGCATGTGTTGAATCAGGTTGATCGTCTTGATTAGCTTTCTTTAATGGATCAACCATTTGTCTGAGTGCAGGACTTCTGGGACAGCAGATGTCTCCAACCTGCAGGTGCCTTCGGGCCTAGCTCTCCATCCTCCCCCTGCCTGCCTGGCTCATCCTGTGCAACACTGCTTTCTTGGTCTCCAAGTTCTGAGTTGCCGCCTTTCCCCTGTCCAGTCCCAGGCTAAATCTCCAGGCAGAGTGTTCTTGGGCATCAAAACAGAGATGACAGTACCAACTTGCCAGCCCGCACTACTAAACACTAAATGAAATGGGCCCAAGCCATGAAGAAATATGGGCAGAGACACAGTAATGAACTTGGTCCTTAAAAAAAATGAGTTTAACTTGGTTGATTCTGCATTGTTGGAAATTATATTTATACTTTTCTACATTTGACTAGAAATCAAATTAGAATGCATTTTCCTTCACAATGTAGCTCTTACTTTAAGCCAAAGATGAGAGAGAAGAGACACTCCCGTTTATAAAAGCATTAATTTTCCATTGGTTTTATTTAAACAGCAAATCCACTAACAAGTTTTTAATATTTTGTTCATTTATTACATTAAGTAGACAAATATGCATACAGTTTTAAAACAATCCAAAAGGCATAAAAGGGCCACAGAGGAAAGTCACTGTCCTACCCAATGTAGTCCTCCAAAGATATGATATACAAAGATACAGATGCAGATATATAGATATGGATTTTCCTTAAACAAATGGCAGCACATTCTACACACAGTGCTCTACACTTTGCTTTCTTCCACTTGGCAATTCATCTTGCAACTTACTCCGTACCTGTATATATACTGCTGCCTCATTCTTTTTATTGGCTGCAGAGCATTATGATGCTGAGACACACTGTAATCTGTTTAACCAGTTTGCTAGTGATGGGCATTCATTCCCCGCTGAAGTTTTTAAGGGAATGAGATTAACACTCTACAAGCTGGAACTGAGCAGCTGAGCATAGCAGGCATCCCTGGTGCGAGGACACAGGGTGCAGGCGCTGCAGGAGACCTGAGAGACTTGCACACCCGGGTCCTCCACATGGAGGGGAGTGTGGACCACAGATCATTTACAAAAGGCTGAGAAAAGCAGCCGGAGCTGGTCTTTATATTAGTTAGAGAGCCACGCTGGTGCCTGAACATTGCCAACTTCCTCCTTAGCAGTAAAAACAACAGGTCGGCCTCTGAGAGCCCTGTCCTTCACAGGCTCACTGAGTGGATCCTACGGGACCCAGTTGCCTCCTGGCTCGCAGCGGGGATCCTGTGGGTGCCACACGCTGCTGAGCACTTGGCTGAGGGGCTCCGGGGCGTGGGTGCCCAGGGGACCACACTCACCAGAGGCCCCTTCTTCCCTTCCAAAGTGCTCAGCTCCCACCTTGGGTACCAGCAAAGCAGGCACAAACGAAAACAGGCCTGGGGGTGCAAAGGAGAGAGCTGCAACACTGTTTTACAATCCCTGGGGCAGGGAGGTAATCAAACCGAGGGATTTTGTGTACTTTTTCACTAAGGTGGTAGGAGTGTGGCACAGTTTGATTGGAAAAACAGATTCAAGCATTAAGAAGACTTTAGCCGCCTGCGTAATTTTTCATAGTGAGAAAATGAATTGCTTTGGCAATGTACCACCTTTTAAAATAAGAATTCTGCAAAATACTCTAAAGTATTAGTGACTCAGTTTAAAATTAAGAAGCCCTTAAAAGCCAAGTTCCACAGCCAGATTCTTAATTTAGTTAAAATATAGTAATGGTAAGAGAGGAGATAGAGAGAGAAAGAGAGAGAAAGGAAGGAAGAAAGGAAGAAGGAGAGAAAAAGCAAACATGTCCTCAGGCATATAGGACATCCACTAAGAGATGCGTCAGCTGCTTGAGTGCTCCCCAAGACCCATTAGAAAGCAGGGTGCCACTCCCACAGGGGTCTCCACAAGACGGGGGGGGGGCCTCGTGGAAAGGACAAAGCTGTGTCCTGTCAGCCACCAGGCAAAGACATGCAAGGTTCTAGTGTCTCCAGCAACTTCAAAAAAATGGCTAGAAATGAGTGAGTTGGCAAATGAAGGTAAACCTAATTCACCTCAGCGAGCGGAGCCCATTCTCCAAGTCCATTAGCAGAATCTTCCCAGGCACCTGGGGGACAGCTGGCCCCACAGGGTGTTCCTTTCTGTTGGATGAGAGGATTATGCAGGCCGGTGGGCATCTGAAAGTCTTCATGCAAGTAATGAACTTGAAGGATGCGAGCTAGCAGAACAGTAGCAGGTAGCAGGATCCTCTGTGTCAAACTGCTCCAGGCCCAGGTCACGTAACCTGCAACGGGGGGAAGAGAAGGCCTAAAGGGAAGAGAGAGCCTTTACCTGGTCCCACTGACCCAGATACCTGTTTGCTCATACTCATAACCTTGTCTTTTACTCTCTCTCTCTCTTTTTTTTTTGGTACTGGGGATCGAACTTGGGACTTTGCGCTTGCAAGGCAGGTGGCGGAACCACTGAGCTAAATCCCCGGCCCTTTTTTTTTTGGTTTTTTGAGACACAGTCTCGCTATGTAGCCCAGGCTGTCCTTGAATTCACAACTATCCTCCTGCCTCAGCCTCCCAAGTGCTAGGATTATAGGCAGGCACCCCGTGCTTGGCTTCCTCTCTCTCTCTCTTTCTTCTTCCTTCCTCTTCTCCTCTGTCTCTCTCTCTCTCTTTCTTTCTTCCTTTCTCATCTGGAGATTGAACCCTGGGCCTTCACACTGAGCTACATAGCCAGCCACGTGTTTGTTTAGACAAGGTCTCCCCAAGTTTCTAAGTTGCCCAGGCTGGGTTCACACTTTCAGTCCTCCTGCCTCAGCATGCCAGAGAGCTCTTTCTTTTGATAATCGAATGGCTTTGATTTTGAGGGGTGCACAGGGCTCAGGAAGGGCTTCTTTGGCCCCCACTCTGTGTTCTTTGCCAGGTGGGGTCCTGTGACATGAGAAAGGCCAGCAACCTCAGAGAACCACCTGGAACGTATGCTTTCGATGTAAACTGAGGTTGCCAGGCCACATCGCAGGAGGTGAGCTGAAGATAGGATGTGGTGAGAGTCTGGTAAAGCCCTGGAGGGAGTGAGAGCTCTCCCTGGTTCTGGGCCATGGGCTCGGGTACTGCAGCAGAGCAGGAGTGCCCCAACACGTCGTCTCCCTGGGAGCTAGAAGAGCCATCACTACGGACCCAGGTGCTGGGAGCTTTGCCACACTGCCTCCAGCAGGAGAACCAACTAGAAGAGCCCTTCCCACAATCACCCCCACACTGGCACCTTCTCAGCTCCCCCTGTCATCAGCAGCTACTCTGCAGACACAGGTCCTAGAGAATAAATGCTCCTTTTCCTCTACAAGCTTCCTTCCACTCAGGAAGTATGGGGTGCTGGTTTCCATCAGTACTACACTTGCCCTAATCCCAGGAACTCATAATTTCTGGCAGAACCAAGGGCCTCTTAGCAAATCAACCGACAGGACCTCCCTTCCTTGAACTTCAGGAGCCAAATTCCCTCTCCTCTTCAGACAGCCCCAGGGGTTGGTGGAAAAACCCAGCAGTACTTTCAAACTGGTAAGGGTAGATAGCTGCAAGGACTACGTTGAATACGAGACCATGACCATTCAAAAATTCCTTAGGATCTTTCTGCATGAATTGTAGCTTAACTGTGGTTCAGGCAGGTTCTGGATGAAGTAAGTGGTAAGTTACTAGAGAAAAGGACTGGAGCTTGAGCCAGCCAGGGTGGGAGTCAGCTGCAGTCTGGAAGGGCCTGGTGAGGTCTGGAGGTAAGAACTCTGCTATGCAAAGTGCTGCTTTCTATCAGAAATCTTCACTGGCCAGAGCCCAAGCTCATTCTCATACAAGGGCCGACACCGGTGGTTAGGAGACACCAAAACGAATCTGAGGGTCGTGACATTAGCTAAGCTGCCTGCAGAGAAAGCAGACTCAAGGAAGAGTTCCACTTGGGGGGCTGGGGAGCCTTGGCTGGGAATTCTGTCTGTTTATTGAGCAATTTGGGTGGTGATAGAAATCAGTCTCTCCCTCTGCCTACCTGTATGTGGGAACTTTGGGTTATCTGGAGGGAAGTGTCAATGTATGCAGTTGTGGGTCAGGCCATGTGACCTTACTGATAAATGCAAATGGGCTCCTCGTGATTTCTCTGGCCTCTACTGTCTGTCATGCCACCTGCCCATCACAGCAAGAGCAGGAACTAGATGGCAGATGCATGGAGGAGAGCCAGTCCAGTGTGGGGGGCTGTGTTTTCTAAGCCCCAACTGCAGGGAACATGGCAATGCCAACGCCAAGGGGATCAGGTAGCCAGAGCATCAGGCTGGAAGGACCTGAAGTCCCAGCCTTGCCTGCATCTCCCCTTCTCTCTTGTCCTGAGGGCTGCTGTGTAAAATCAAAGCCCCATCTGAGCTCAGGGTCACCTAATGGTACAAGCACTCTGCTGGGCTCATTCCTGCCTCCTAGGTTGTCCTTTTCCCTCCTCCATGGCTGTCAGGAAACCCTGGCCAACCTGCCTAACATGTGTTAATGGACTGATGAGCTGATATTTAGCTGGGTGGTCACATGTGCAAGCCACGGGACCTTGCACTGTCTCCTCCCCTGACTGGTGGGGATGGTGCGGAGGGGAAAGGTAACTTTAAAATATGTACCTAAGTGTCCTGCAAAGCTACTGGAGTCAAGGTGGGCCATGCAGTGGCCTCATTGCATGTTCCTCAGATTCTTCCCCCAAGCCTCTCCCTTTGCCTTTACAGCATTTATTTTTCAAGGGCCTGCTGCTGCAGCAGCCAAAATAAAAATGCATGGAGATTCTGCAGCAGAAATAAACAATAACTTTATTGTTTATCCACAGCCTCCCTGCAATGTAAATCATGTGTTTCCGACCTGCCACTGGGGCCAGGAGTGTGTAGGTTTCTGTTTCTTTAGAGGCCCCATCGTCTCGTGTGCAGAGTGTTAGGAGAGCCACCATGACCACATCTGTCCCTGCCCCACACCCCAGCCACGCCACGGATCTCCCATATGTCAGAGCACAGAGGGGTGAACGTTGCCCACCCAGCCCTCATCTAAGAGGAGCCCCGGTTCCCAGGAGCAGACCTTCTTTCCCTCCCTGCACACTTCCCTGGTTTTTCACCCTGTGTTGTGACTTTGTTGAAATGGAATGCCTGCCTCTCTCTGCTGGAGTTCCAGGATCCTGGCTCCTGCTAGGAACATCAGGCTAGAATGTCTGCCTTCCAGCTGGCCCCTGACCCGGCCACACACCTAGGTGGCAGGGAGATGTGTGGCCCTACCTTGGCACTAAGGAGGACAGCTGGTCCCTCCTCTGTCTCCAAGTTGCCCTCAGGAATCACATCCCAGAGCATGACTCTGAGCCATAGAAGCTACTCTGCCCCAGCTTGGCTACAGCCTACGAGACTGTTTTTTCCACAAGAGGCTTTTTGTCCTTTTTCGTGGCAATGGACCTCAGAACACCCAATTTGCCTCAACCCCACCCCGACCCTTGGGCTTCTGCTAGGCCTCCCAGCTCCCAGCGAGAAAGGCAATAATTTCCATGGAGCCTTTGTCATCGGGGTGCCACTGGCCCTCCACCCCTCTGAGCCATTGTTATGAGTGCTGGGACCAAAACCACAGGAAGCTCTCTTCTATCCATCCTTCATGGCCAGGGAAAGTCCAGGAGGCCCTGTCCCTGCATCCAGCCATCAAAGCCACTGAGCCTCACCTCAGGGGGACAAGGTAGGTGGGCTGTAAATCAATATAAACCTGCCAGGTTGTTCTTTCTCAGCCTCAGTGGGCATGGCCTGAACTGACTTCACCCCAGAATCCCTTTCCCCTCCCTTAAGAGAGTGCACACCCCAGAGTTGGGCACTCAGTAGGAAGAGCCTCCACCCTGGACTCCACTATTACCTTTAAGGGGCCTGCTGAGGCTCACCCCTCACCCTGGCAACAGCCCCAAACTTCCAGGATTCCCTCAAAAACTTCTCACATGTCCTGTACCCACTAGTTAATCTAAAGATCTCAAGAAGGAGTCTCCATATCCAGGTTCCCAGGCTTTCTTGAGAGAGCATCCCTGCATTCAACCCCGCTCTCCAGAGGCGTGGTGACTGGCGGGGTGACAGAAATGTGCTTCCCAGTGAGGTGATCCAAGACAGAGATGCCACTTGGGTCCAAGACCCATGGCACTGAGGGTCTTGCAGGCAAAGGACAGTGACAGACTGCTGAGGAGCCAACTTGGGCAACTGTCATGGAACAGAGAATACTCAGAGCTTCTAACACACAGGGGACAGCTCCACACACAGCCCAAACTGCCACCCACAGCCACACAAGGGAGCTCTGATCAGGATTCAGTCCCACTCCCCCACCCGCAACCTCTCTCACATCAGAGCTGCAGCTTTGGTATCTTCCCTGAGATTGTCTTTGGGCCCAGGGGCCCTTTGCCAACACGGCAGACATCAGGGGCCTCATATGGGACCCCAGAGCCTCATATGGGACCTGGCAATCGGGAAGTTCTTGGTAGATATTTCTACAATGAATGGGACTAAAGTTCCAACCACAGCAGCCTTGCCCTTCTTTGAAATCCCTCTCAGTAGTCCATGGCATTCAGTCACTCAAGAAGCCATTATTAGTCAACTGCACCAGGCACTGCCAAGACCAGCAAAGAGGTGGAGCCGTGCCCCTCCAGAGACAAAGAGAGTCTAAAGAAAATGCTCACGGGCAGTGAGGCTGCATGTGATACTGGGTATATCTGACACTGGGGATCACCTGTCTTGTTCATAGAAGGGACAAGGGTCAGGGACTGGAATCAGGGCCCACCCTCGCTTTTGGGGACATCATAGACCTTCTGTAAGGAAAAGTCCAGCACTGTGATTCTTATCCATGGACAGTCTTGTACCCCTAGGACATTTGGCAACATCTGGCAATTGTTTTGGTCTGTAAGTAACTGGAGGGGGTAGGCAAGGCTGCTGTCATTCACGGGTAGGAGCCAGGGATGGCTGCACCACTCAGAATCATGCAGCCCCAAATGCTGGCCAGGCTGGTGCTGAAGGAGCCTGCTCCAGCCCAGTTATGTGTGAGCAGAGGTTCAAGTCAGCCAACTATGATTCCATGGGGCTCAATTCTTAACTGCTATGATCCTCCATGCCCTCATCACTGAAACCAGGGAGCTGACGGCACCTATTTACAAGGCTCATTTCAGGACCCATGATGTGTGGAGCACACACCCATGGGTGAAAGCATCGTGGCTGCACATAGCCCGGGAGCAGACAGAGGCAGAGAATAACACGCACAAGTGTGAGGGATCAGTCGGACAAGCCCGGGGAAGCTCCCCAGAGAAGGTGAGGATGGAGCTACTGAGGAAAAATGTGGGCTGAGTGCAGAGGGGAGCCAACGAGCCTGCCATGAGGCTGGCCCTTGCTGGGCACCTTGGAGGAGGGGAGCTCCAGAGGCTGCAGCCCAGAAAGCAGGAGGAGTGGGTGTCATTTTAGGCAGCTGAGGGAGGTCCTGTGGATCCTTGAAGGCCATGTTGACCATACTGGTCTTTATCCCAAGAGCAATGGGGAGCCACTGAAGGTTCAAGCTAAGAAGGGATGAGGTGAGATTGGGTGAAAAGCGTCTGTGGCAGTTTTGTGAATAATAGAGCAGAGGGACATTACAGAGGCACCAGAGTGCTGGGGACAGTCAGGTCAAGGAGGCGGGCGACTCCAGAAAAACGTGGACAATGCAGAGGCACCCAAGTCGTGGGTTGGAGACAGGCTGAGGGTACGGGAGAGAACTTGCTGGTAAATTCTGATGGACAGAGACACTGTTCACTGAGGCAGGAAAGTGAGAAGAAGGCCAGGTTCTTGGGGAGGAATTTCAACTTGGCTTTAGGGTAGGTGAGGCCCTAGGGCCTTCAGGACCTGCAGGCTTATTCTGTTCTTCAGCCCTTGCTCCTTTCTGCCTGACAGCTATTCCCTCTACACCAAGGTATGCATACGTCCCCAGGGTCATTTCTGCAGCCAGGAGCAAACTTTCACCACCTCCTTCTTTAGACCAAACCCATCCTTCCAGCCAAGTTCTTCCTCCTAGATGTCTTGCAGGCAAACCAGCTTTGGTCCAGACATGCAAGTTGAATCGGATCTCAGCCACCGTCTGCCAGGACCAAACCCCAACCGAAGTGCCTCCCAACACAAGACAAGACTCTGTCCCCACTTGCACTTCTCCTTGGCTCATTCTCTACTTATTCCCAGGCATACTTTTAGCCATCTGCCTGGAGCAGGGAAGACCTGCCTTGTCACCTTTGTAGAGCCCACACCCAGGGTCTTGCACTGAGCCGTGAGTGGCACAATGTTGAACCACAGCCTCCCCAGGCCTTGGGAGTACCCAGCCACATTTACAACTCAGCATGTGCATTCCAAACAGGCCGCAGGAGCTGCCTGCTCAAACACTGTTCCATCTTGTGCTTGGAGCTAAGGTCGAGCACATGGATCTGCACAGAAAATGCTCTTTAAAATGCACTATGCGCCTGAGTTCAAAGAGATGCCTGCTTCTCAGTGAATTTCAAAAAGGAGCAAGCCAGTGATGGATGACCTCAGTTGTTACCAGGCTGAGGAACTAGGGGCTCTGTCTGTCTGCAGGTAAATAAAGTGTGGACATATATCACCTACTGGGTTCTGCCTGAGGGAGGCTCTTAAACCTGTTGGACAGCAAAACAGCTTTCAGCTCATCAGAATATCATACAATAAGGCTCTTACCTGGATGAACATGGAGTCACAGCTGTGGGGAGAGTCCCATCATAGAGGGTAGGGTGTCAGGTTCATGATGCTAATGGCTAAACAAGGAGCCTGACTTCGAAGGTGGTGTCTGCAGAGAGGAAGCACCTTGGAGCTGTTTCAAGGTACAAACAAACAGGGGTGACTGGGGCTGCTTTCCTGTTTTTTGTAGAGATTCTGTTTGTGAACTTCCCATCCTGGACAGCACTGTGAGACAGGTCTGGCTTAAGAAGGGGAAGAAATTAGCTGAGTTCATCAATGGTGCATTAATTACATCCCTCTGTTTCCTCTCCTTCTAGACCTGCTGTGAAATAAGAAATGGGATGAGCTATTAGCAAGCCATTACTGAACATGCCCATGTCCAGAACACCAGGTTAGGCACCTTGGGGAGAGATTTCTGAGCTGCAGAAGTCCTCCTGGCAGCCCCGGGCTCTGCACACACATGCAGATGCCTCCAAAGCCATTGTGGAGCCCTGAGTCACCAAGCAGATGAATGCAGGCAGGTGGGTCTGTCACATACTTTGGGGGTGAAGTGAAGCAGTTTCCAGATGAGCCCCTGCAGCTTGCCTTCCCTTTGGGGAGCAGAGCTGGCCATCTGCAGACTTCCTCTTCATGTGTTGCAAATTGTCCCAGGGTTTGCTGGGCCTGGGTGCTGCCTTTGTCATGGGGTGAGGCATAGAAACAGGTACAGAATGAAGGATGGCTCCATCCCGCCAAGGTGAGCAGGTATATAATTACCCTGGAACGAGTGCTTTGGGAGATTATTCATACAGATTATTTTCCCAAGATGGACAGCTTCTCATCAGGGCTTGGGAGAGCTAGGTTTGTGACCTTGGGTGAGTTACTTGCTTCTGGGAACGCTGCCCTGCCCCCATCTGCTGATGAACATACCTGCCAGCCAGTTCCCGGGTGCCTTTGTGGGCCCTGGATGGCCCATCACTTCAGTATTCCAACCCCACACTGGTTAAACAAGCATTGAATGATGCACGGCACCAGGCTTCACCCTGTGCTGAAAGGCAGGCTCCTTGCTCAGTTCCCCAGGGAAAGCCTCATTCATTAAGTGAGCATTTATTGAGTGTTTGCTGGCTGCCAGGGGCATGCAGGCCACAGTGCAGAGCTTCGGGCCTGCTGCCTCCTGGGGCCATCTTGGCTTGCTGAGCTTGGAATTCATGAGATGGTCTGTTTGAATTCAATGCTGGACACATTTTCACAGTAGGCTTCCCAGTAGGCTTCCCACCTTCTACTTGCTAAGGTGGATGCTGTCAAACAGTGCATGCTGCCAAAGCAGAAGCTCTGGAATCCCCCTTCCTGGGTTCAAATCCTGTATTTATCTTTTACCACTGCCATAACTTGAGGAAGGGATGTGCCCCAAATCTAAGCAGTAATAGCCCTTATTTCTGGGCAGGGCCACATGCCCGGTGCAGCTGTTTAAAACATCTAGAGCACTAGTATCTCAACACATAGCAATAGAAAAAGCATTATATCTTACATTCTTTTCCTCTGTAACTTTTTTTCAAAACCCAGCATGTATTTTTCTTTTATAACATACCTCAGTTCAAATGCTGAGTTTTGATTGGAAATGGTGGATCTGTATTTAGATTTCATAAAATGTAAAGTGGAAGATGTAGATGCATGCGCTCTAGTTATTCCAAACAAATTTTAAAGTTTTCCAATAACTGAATCAAGTGCTACCATTTTTAAGATTTAATGAAGCCAAAGGAGACATGGCTCCTTGGTCACACTGGCCCAGCATGGGCTTTGGGAGGTCACGTGTGTCTGGTGGCTGTAGCTGAGCACCCTGCTGGAGGATGTACCTTCCGCATCACCAGAGGCCCTGCGTACTGAGTGGGGCTACTCTAGAACACCCTGCAGGGCCCTAGGAAGGTGGCGGCTCAGACCTGCAGAGTGGGGTGCATCTACACAGCTGACAGGCTCCCAGGCAGGATCCTGATGCAGAACCGAGCTCTAAGGAGCAGGGCTCAGGAGACCAGAGTCACCCATTCTCACCCTATCTTAGAGCATTTGCCCACATGACTGCTGCAAACTAGGCTTGCAGAACCTCCCAGTGTTTTGTGAATATGACCTAGAGTGCCTCTCCCAGAACAGGAATGGGTCCCCGGTACCAAAAAAAAAAAAAAGAGTATGCCAGAGCAGGAATGGGGCAAATACTCAGGGCCCTTATGCCACCATCGGTGAGAAACTGTCATATTTTTTGCAATTCTATCTCATATTAAGGGGAAATAGGCCTCTTTATAACTTATGCCTCCTGCCTTCCTTTTGCTCCTTGGAGCTAAGGAAAGCTAAGGTGACTGCTGGCTACACAGACAGACCAGCTCTTTAAGCATTCTAAGGCAGCTCTCACATCTCCTTAAAGTTCTCTTTTTCTACTCTAAACCATCACACCCAATCCTAGTACCATGGGAAGAGAAACCCAGTAAGCAATTAGCAGCCATTTGCACTTTAGTAAAAATCTGCCCATCAACTTGTTTTCCTCTATCGAGTTGGGAATAAACCCACCCAGCTGTCTAGGGTCAACTTACCGCAGGCTGTGGGACCAGTGTGTTGCAGGATCATCAGCAGAACTTCGGAGTTACAATCTCTGGCTGGCCACAGCCTGGATGGAGATGAAGCTTCCAGGACTGTGCGGTTGGTCCTGATAAGTGAGCTCACTCCAGAAGTCATGTGCAGACAGCAAACCAGGGAGTCACCAGGTGTTGTCGTCATGGATACCCGGGTCTGGCGCTTCTGGGCAGCGCCTTCATCTTCCCCTTCTCTGGCTGAACCGGTAGGGTATGGAGATAGGGCAGGTCCCAGTAGAGACCCACTTCCTTTTTCCCCTAACATGCCCCCAGGGCCCACCCCAAGGGCGTCTCCATGGCCCCGTCCTTCCCTGCTAAGGCACCTGTCACAGCCGCCCATCACTCACCCTACTCTCCCACGAGACTCAGAGTCTCCATCCGTCCTGGTTATGGCGTCTTCAGTGCCTGGCACCTGATTGTCAGCAGCTCCCTTCTTCCTCTTTTTTTTTTCCTCTGCAATTCTTTATTAAAGATACTGTTGTACACATAGAAACTGAAACCAGGATTAAAGATTAATAACACATGTCAGGATCATGACATTAGAACTTAACATACTGGGGCTTTTTAGGGAAGTTGTTGACATCCAAATGACAGAACCAAGGTCAAAAACCAATGCATGGGTACCCTCAAAAATATTTACAATGAAGTAACTAGCTAACAGAATTTAAAATAGGTACAAGAAATTGAAATGACCAGCATCACATGATTTCAAGGGCTGTCTTTTCTATGCTTTTATCAGTTGTAACAGGAAGGTTTGGAAAGTTTATATTCTTAAATTGACTATTCTCACATATTAAAACCTTCCTATGGATTAAAGACTAGCTTTCAGACAACCTCTTCAGTGGAATTATACTATGGAAAAGGAGGTTCCCCAAAAAACACCTAAGCAGAACTAAGAGCTCTTTTGAAAACCATTCCCAATAAAAAAATTAAATAAAAAGTAAATATAGGCCAGGGATTTAGCTCAGTGGTTCCAGTGCCTGCCACGCAAGCGTAAGGTCCCAAGTTCGATCCTGGATACCAAAACAAAAACAAAAACAAAAATAAATATAAAACAAAGCTAAAAAAGATGTATCACCTGACACCATTTTCTGGATAACAGTATTTATTCACGAAAACATATCAGCTGTCTACTTTGTATATTTAAACCAAGACCTGAGGTTACTGGGGGCTGAAGCAAACTAGTATTTACACTGCATTCTTGAGTTTATGATGTGAACTTGCCCTGAAGAGGGAAGTTTGCTGGTCTATACAGAATGAGAGATTAAGGCTTGTTTTACCCCTGCCATTCCTTAGCTTTCACAAAACACTGGTCCACAAATTAAAATTTTCAAAAAGTTCCCAGACCCCAAAACTAAAATAGATGATCCCCTTTCATTTTCAAAGAATACAATATTGGGGAAAAAATTACCTGCCCACTTATAAATTAAGCATTTCGTATTTTTTCTAGAATACAAGTAGTTTTTTATTGTACAAAAGAATTACAATACGATTTGTCAAAAAACATATTAGAAAGACGGCTGCTCTTTCTCAAATACATGAGCAGCTCTCTTCTGAAGAGTGTTAGAAGTCAGTCTGCAGGGAAACTCCAAACAAGGCACGTGTTTCCTGCTTGTCTTTCTATCTCCAGCTCCCCCAGCCCAGTACTTGGGACATTACTGAACCTTAATAAAGCATTACTGGATGAATGAATGTATGGCAGCTGGTGGCCAAGAATGGGCCAGATAGAGGTTCCCTCCTCCTGGTGGGATGTGATTATAGGCACAGACCTGATGTTTTGTGAGTTGAATCTCCCAGCCAACCTAGTGTCTTCCTGCACTGGCCAGGATTTCCACTTGTCTTGGGGGACATGGAAAAGGTTATAAACTAGTCATTCATTCCTTTCCACCCAAGAAAATAGCAGGAGAAGAGGGCTTTGCCAGTACATTGGGGGAAGAGTTGACTGCTGATTCTGCCTCCTAAAGAGAGCATTACATCAGGAGGCAGAAACCCACCACCCACAGTGGTGGTGATGATGGGATCTTCGCCCTGTCCTGGGTTTGGCCAACGTGGTTTCAGGATATTCAGTACATGGTTGGATGGCTCCAAAGGAGGAACATCATGGCAGAAGGGCATGGCCACCATACTTGCTGGAAGATTCCAAGATGTTCCAGGACTTTCTTATTAACCACACATGGAAAAGGGGGTGGTGGCTCAAACTGAGGCCTCATGGGAGTTTCTAGGGTGCAGGGCAAGGCTGCAGCTGGACACTGAGTGGCTGAGGACAGGGACTGTCTTTTTCATCCTAGCCGAAGCATGTGCCTGACCCTCTAACACACATGAGTTGAACCAAGCAATAGAGGCTGACTTGAAACTTTTTCTCCAGAACACCACATAGTAAATATATTCCACAAAAATAACTGGAGATGATACACATACAGGTATGGCTCTGTACCGGTTAAACACAGGAAATACAAATAAATTTGGTGCATCAAGAAAAATATTTTTCTTCTTTAGGTTTTTCATTTCTACCACTTAGAAAGGTAAAAACCATTCTTAGCTGGCAGGCCAGATTTGGCCCACAAACCCATTTACTGACCTCTGGTCTTTCCAAAAAAAATCTCCCCAGCACTGCCCACCTCTTTGTTGCTAGAGACCAGTTGCCCCTGTCAGGTGTGTTTACAGGAAATGTGAGCTCTCCACAAGGGAGGGATGAGTCCACGGTTGTCATGGAAGGCCTAGGGCTGGGACCTGGTTTCTCCATGGGAACGAGGCAGCCGTCTCTGTGGTTAACTCACAAGTTCGCCCTTAGCCTCGTGATCCCTGCACCAAAGCTTCTGGAGAGGCAGGCTGGAGTGGCACTGATGGGTGGAGGAAAGTGAAAGGCTGGCTGAGGTGACCCCTTGTAGCAGGAGGACAAGGGCACCGGTGCCCCAGGCATCTCACAGGAAGTGCTCTGGGCTTCTGCAAGGAGAGGAGGAAAAATGGTCAGGAGTCTCCGCAGCAAGGGAAGGGCTGCTGATGCCCACACCAGCAGGATCACTGAGGATGGTGTAGGGGTGTCTGGGAAGACGCGTGAGGTGGCCTTCCTGCTTTGCTTCCCATGCCTCTGCTCTCCCTGAGGCAGGTGCTAATTTGCCAGTTGGACTAGATCAGTCTCAATGGCAGAAGCCACAGTGGATGTGTGGAATGGTGCCCCCCAGCATGGCCTAGAGGATGTCTGACCTTCCAGTCCCACTCTAAGGGCCTAGAATGCAACTGGCCTGGAGGAGGCACTCAGCAAACAGCTGAATAAATCCTATCAGTTCTGAGATTTGGTTCTTCTCACTTGGGTTGCTTTTAGGGAATTCAAATGTTCTTTCATGACCTGTGGCTGACCTTGAACTCACTGTGTAACCGGTAGTTGCTTTTTTGTGTCCCTTCTTGATGAAAAGTGACAATCTCCCTTACTATGATTATTTTTGTGTGCTATTCTATAAAATCCCAAATCTGGGGAACTGTTCCTTAAATGAATAAACCAGAACATGATATCAGTCTGTTAACTGAATGGAAAGAGTAACCATCAAGTGCCCCAAAAGAGTTCATGTTGACCCATTGCCCCTATTTTCTACAAAGGGTTTTTATATAGCTTTGTTCTCCTTATTGAGGTTTGTAAACCAAGGCATTACAGGGCACTTAATATTGATCCCTAAGAAGGCACTGATGTAACTCCTTCTGATTCAGATCAATGGGCACAAGAGGGCTATTTTGGAAGAGGGCTAGACAATAGGATCTGGAAGCTCTGAGATCTGGTTCACCTGAAAGAGGTTTCCAAGGAGCACTAAGCTGCCCTGGTGAGCTAGTGGCTGTGGGTTTGGGGAATAGAGGGACCAGAGATGGAAAAGTCAGACATGTAACTAATAATCCACTGGACCTGCACAGAGCAGCCAAAGGAAAAAAGGAAAGCAGGCCGGGTTCTGAGAGACCACTGGCAGCCCCTGCACAGGGCGAGCAAGGAGCCGATGGGCTGAAACTTCATTAAGAGAGGCTTGAAAAATCAACCTGTCAGGATTAGACTCTTCTTCCTTCCAAGAGCTTTTCGAATTTGCAGGATTTTTTTTTAAAGGAAATACATAATTCTATAGATCCTCTTCCCCAATCAGTTGCCTGTCTTTGAAATTAACCATTTCCCTGGCTTTCCTTCTGATTGGAATCAAGCTCCTCCTTAGTCTTTCTGAAGTGCTATTGTGCTGGATATTATTCGCTTAGCCACACAGAATGTAACTTTGAAATGCAATGGAATAAAAATTAGCATTTCCAGTGAGCTGGAAAGAATGCATCTGATTTCAAAATGTGTACTTAAAAAAGAAAAAGCACACCCAAACTGATTCTACCAACTATAGGGTTCATTCTGCCCAGCCAAATCTGAAATGCATTTTTGCAAAAGGACAACTTTATTTATGATTTTTTTAAGGGAAAGAAATACAAAGTCCAAGGCACAGGGTGGGGGGAGCATCATGAGGAATTAATATAGCTTGGATTAATCAAAGTGCCTGCTTTTAAGCTGTATGCCCCTACAGCAGAGTGAATTAATGAGGAATTTATGCAACGAATATATTTTTTTCTTTCATTATCTAGGTATTTCAGAGGAACGTGCTTCTTCTGACTTGAATTCTCCAGATACTTCTCTGAAATTTTAGCTTCACTTTGCATGTATAATTACAGCCTCAAGGTGTTTGGAGAGCAAGTCCCAAGGCAGTCAAAAGCTTCCTGCACCCCACCCCCCTTTATGCAAATCCAGCCACAGGCTCAACGGCTCTCCCCCAATCCTCCTGAAGGAAGAATCCATGTCGGAATTGCCCTCGGGCCAGTGTTTCCGGAGCTGATCTGGGGAGCGGGGGCTTTAAAAAGAATGCAGATGCCCAGCACTGCTCCTAGAGACTCAAAATCAGCAGGTCTAGGCTAGGGCCCAGGAACCTGTATTTTTCAAGTTCCGCATAGCAGAGTGGACAAGCTTCACTCTCCCAGGGAGAAGAAAATGCTAAATTAGTGAAGTTAACATATATGCCACCTTCCAAGGGCAAGTTGTAGATTCAAGGTCAAAGCTGACTGCCAGGGGAGGTTGGCTACAGGAAGATGGACTCCTTGCTCCTGAAGCAAAAGCTCAGCTGCAATTTAGATCCCCAAGAAATGTGTACAAGTTCTGTGGAAATGACCTGGCTTTGCATTCTGCCTTGCTTCGGCAGCCCCTGGAAACACTGGCTGCGTCACCTGGGTAGAGAGGCCTTGCTGATGCTGGCTTCCAGGAAATGGGGAGGGAGCCTGGCAACTAGGTGGGTGGAATTTCCAGACTCGGGCCTGTAGCCTTATTTCCCCATGCAGCCTCACCAGCATGCTTGGCCAGGTTGCCAGAAACAATAGGCTCACAAGGCCAAGAGGGCTGGAGTGGCTGAAAGCTCTGGGCACGGGTATCAGTATAGTTGCTGGAATTTCCCTGCTCTCCAAAAGCAGCGGCCTCACCTTAAAGCAAGCAGGACAGTAGCAGGTATTGGAAGAGAAGCCCAGGTGTCCCCTCCACTGCTACAACCTTGCTGTCTCCCCGCTCTCCTCTTTTGGGCCACCTCTTCCGCGCCTTCCTTTTTAAAGCCAAAGGAGGGGAGAGGTGGGGTGTTGGGTCACCTCTTCTACAAGATCCCCTTCTGAAGACAAAGGAAAGAGTGGGTGGAGGATGTTGGGATTCAACTTGATCCTGAAGTGCTTCATCAGGGAAGAAATGGGTCCCAGGCCCATCTACCGCTAATCCAGCTCCTTTTGGTCCACTGCATGACAAATCTCTGGCACACAAACGCAAGTTCCTTCTTCCCATCTGCCCCACTTCCCAAAGGAAGGGGAGGAGGCTGGTTCCAAAACAGGCTGAAATAGATCTTCAGATGGTCTCTGATCCCCACCTGAGACCTTTCCTGGACCCAAAACCTCCAGTTCAGGAAAACACAAGTAGATGTTCCTTCCGGCCGTGCTCCCCTTTGCCACGGTTCCATTAGCACAGAAATCATAGCATCCACAGCCTTGCTGGGTTCCAGGCTTAGATCATTATTTTCTCATTAGTTCCATTCACATTCACCTGCAACCTTCATTAGACAGTGTTGTACAAAATGGCTGTCTTTTGGTACCCGGGGCCAACTGGGCTGTGGCGCTGTCCAGCTCTCCCTGCAGCCTCTCCCGCTCCAGTGGGGACAGAGTGTGGGGGGTGAAGGTTCTGCTCCCCTGTGTGAATTCAGGAGGATGCTGCCTGGGGACCTGGAGCCTTGCACCCTCCCTAAAACCCTCCTTCTGCTGCCTGAGTACCCACCATTAGCAGGCCAGTGATGCAAGTCGACAATTGCCATCTTCCTGCGCCTGGGAACAGGCGTGGGAGGATCACACAGGAATGGCAGGGGAGCAAGGGTACTGGGATGGACTGCAGGCTTTGTTTCTTTTCATAATCACCTAGAGTATGTCCTGACCCCGGTATCAGTGGTCCCAGCAGTCAGCGGGCCCTTCTAGAAATGGCCACTTTTATCCACTCATCCAACTGCATTTATCGAATACCTACTCTGTGACAGGGATTTTCTAGTTACTAGTCTTCATCAGGTGGGCAAAGAAAACCCATTCCTATAGGGTGATTAGGTCTAAAGACACATGAAATTGGTGATATGTGGTTGTTTTTACCCAACAAGAGCCACCATTTCATTTGGTTCAGCTTGACACACTGCAGGCAACAAACAAAAAGAGACAATAAGCAAAGGCCCTGAACACGTTATACATCGAGGTGCTACAGCAGAGCAGCAGAGCAAGGGCGAGGGCACTGAGGTGTGGGTGGAGCCTCTGGGTAGGTGCAGCTGCTGCCCAAGCAGATCCGCAGCAACAGCTGTAGGGAGAAGTCCGTGCTGGCCTAGGGAGAGGACCTGGAAGGACAACACCAGGACACGGAGAGGATGTCATCCTCCAACACCTTCCTGGGAGAAGGTGAACACTAGAAGCCCCTGGAGCGGGGGATGAGGCCCGTCTCTGGATGCAAGCTTGGACCAGAGCTGCACTGCTGGGCAGCAGAGGCAGAGCACCTGCCTCCTCCCCAGCTTCTCTCCCAGAACTTCCCTCCTGAGAGGGGCTGAGATGCCAAAGGAGCCCCAGTGTGGACACTCCCGGGCCTCTCTCCAAGGGCAAACAAAACAGTCCCGCTGTGAGTCCCCAGCCCCCCCCCCCCCGGGGCCTAGGTATCCAGGAGCAGCTTCGGTCCCTCTTCCCTGTCACACTTGTCAGGGTGAAACCTTCCTTTGAGTGATGTCCCCAGCATCCTCCATCTGTGTGACACTGGGTGAGTGGCCCAGCTTCTTGGAGCCTCTGCCTGCCCTGTGGATGGGAAGGCACAACCTGTGAGTCCCAGTCAGCTGGTGTGAGCAGTTACCGTGCAAAGTGTGCCAAATAAGAAGAGTTTAGTCTGGGTTCAGTGCAGGCTGTTGGGAGGCTGGGGGTGGCGCCTTGAACCAAAGCTGCTGGCATCTGCTCCATCCCTCACAGCCTTCAGTGAGGCTTCCAGTTCTACCTTAAAACCTCAAACGGATGGCCCACTCCAGAATCATCTCTACAGGCCAGCAAAAACTCTGGCTCCTCAGGAAGTGGCCTTTTCCAGCTCCAAGCCCACAGCCTAAATGAAAGTTGGAAGGAAGGAGATTAACTAGGCTTTCTCGCAGAGAAAAATTAACAGCGGGGAGATGTCTATCACAGAGCTTGAGAGAGCGAGGCCGTGCTGCAGCCAGCACCAGCCACATAAGCAGGCGCTCTGGGCATTTTGGAGGCCAACAGGAGAGGTGGGGGCCTGGGAGACGTGCTTATGGATGAGAGTGACTCTGCAAATGTCACCCTCAGCCCGCTCAGCTGGAGTTCTCTTTGTCCCAATTAGGAGAAACCATTATGCCTGCTCCACTGGAACCCTCCTGTGTGCATCT